ATGCTGGGATTTCGGCTGAGAGTATGGAATCTTTCAAGAGGCGATTGGACGATTTCCTCAGGGACCGTAATATACAGGGGTATAAGTACTCTTAAGATTGAACACACAGGGACCTATATATACTACACATCAGTAGGACCATACACATACACACAATAGGTTGGACTTGATGGACATATGTCTTTATTCAACCTCAAATACTATGTAACTAAGTAACTACAACAGAAAAAGATGTGCCATACTCCTGGTAGTACTGTGTTACGAGGTTGTGAAAATCTCAGGAAAGATTCTGGCATGCATGGTGCTAAACAATCTTTTCAGCATGTAATTCAGAATATTATTTTCAAATATGGAGTTGTAATATTTGTTCTCCTTTCTTGCAATCAGAGTGATACAAACATGTGGTATGGGGCACCCTTTGGAAAGGTTGCTAGTGGCCATCTATCTTCTCTACATGCGGAGAAATAGTAGACTTATATATTATATTATGGCAGCTTTATATATGTATCAATATCTCCAATTTAAATGTACTTGTATTAGAAAAATAGTTGAAACGCTGGTCAGTTAAACAGAGTTTGAAACTGAAAATATTTTAAAAAAAGCTTCTAGGAAATAAAACAGGAGTACAGAACACATTTAAAAAAATCCTACTTTGCATTTTAACAAAACAGCAACGAGTCTCTATCGAGTGAAAAGAAATGTAGATTGTATGTACAGCCTTTTTATTAACGAATAGGGGATCAGCTTGATTTAAATGAGCTTTCTGTATACTACACAATGCTGGTGCTTTACTGCCCCTTCTTACAGTGCAAGTCTAAGGGTCTCATGGCCCACAGAAAACAACTCATTCAATGTGTGGTAATCATCTTATCAGAAGTCTGACTGATTGCAATGCAAGACTCCCCTTAGCGATGAATCTATAATTCTTCATACTTGATACAATTACATAAAATACTGAAAAGGAGGCTCATAAAATGTTAAAGTCACATCAAAAACTACTCTAAGGCATGTAATGCAATAACTTAAAAAATTTGATCAGGGAAAATACACCATTTCCCTTTAAAATGTAGGCATTATTTTGCTGCGTTCTTACTTCTTTGAAGATTTCTGCCTGTTTAATAACTACGCAGTGGCCGTTTCCCTGCTTTCAGCATGACTTCCCATAAAAGCCTGTTTGTCCTCAAATGATTTCTATTTAATGGCTAAAGACGATTCCTCCTGCTGCTCTGGCTGAACCACTGGAGGTTAGTGCCCAGCAGCTGGTGGGGAAACTTTCCTTGTATCACCAAGGCCAACAACAAAAGACGTACATTAAAAATAATAAATGTATGGATAACAGAGAATTACAGGAACATGAATGTCCTCTTGGGGAGCCTGTTGACATACACGGTGGGAGAGAGCCAAAGTAGACCTTGCAGACTAGATTTGTCACCTGTATTTTGGTTGAAATCACTTTATTTTGGTTTGAACGAAAAATAGTTTTTTGTTATTACCTCTATAAATGTCTGGCTGAGATTTTGCTCCACTTGCTTACTACTTTTGCTACTGTGTTTCTATCCTTTCTTCCTGACCTACTTTTGTTTGATTTCTATGAAAGAAACAAAATTACCTTGGGTAGGAGGAAACCTAATAAATTGTATGACTTGCCCTCCACACCGGCAAGGTTCTTTTTATTTTAATAAAGTGAGCTGTTGGGTCCATAACCTCATTTAACTGCCACAGGTTCCTGCATGCATCTATAGATACCCGATCCCTATTATGCAAATATTTACCTCTGAAAAAGTCAAGGGAGGGAGTGAAACTTCAGTCTGTAGCCCTGGGATAGCAGCTCCTGCACTCAAGAAACGTAGATGCAAGCTGTCCAAATGTCTGCATAGGGTAACAAATGTTCCCCCACTTTAGAAAGTGGGGGTGCAACTTAATTCAGGGGAAGGTTTGTCTGAGGATTTGACAGAATTTGGGAGGAAATGCCAGGACTTGCAAGGGAAAGGGGAGCCAAGCTAGAGGAGTCACAACGTGCAGGTCGAGGCAGCAAAAACTTAAGTGATTTAAGCCGAACGGTGCGCGACTGTGGTAAAAACCTTAGCTTTGAAAGTCCAGCCACACCTGAGAGAATCAAAGAGGACCCTGGGGATTAAATAGAGTAGAGGATAAGATGAGGCTCCATAGGATCATGTAAGGGAAATGAGCCACCCTAAAACAGGATATCAGGGCCAGTGCTCCGGGACCAGCTGATTCTGCAGGAAACTAAAACTTGTAAACAGTAAGGAGTAGCATCCATTGTAAGCAATGCAATCAGATTTTAAAATTTCAAAATAACCTTTCGACTTTATTATCACCTAAGTAATTGAGGTAGCTACCAGGATCTGGCCTACTCAATAAGTGAATCTTTAAAGGACAGGGAAAGCGCTGAGGCAATGCCAGTGGTGAACTTACACTTTATTGGACAAGAAAGCAATGAGGATTTTTACACAAATCCAATTCTGATGAATTTTCTTTAAAGTGACATTAAAGTAAAAAAAATGTTTTCCCTCCCCCCCCATGTTAATGGTAGCACTTACCTTAAATGATGTCTCTTAATCCGATCTTCTTCTTTCCTGATATTTTCATCTGTCATCACATTCTCAAACAATTCATCCCCACACAGCTACCTCCTCATGTATCATTTCCCCCTCCTCTTTCAGATTGCAAGCCCTCAGGGGCAGGGCCCTCCTTACCATCCCGTAATGAATTGTATTGTAATGTCTTCCTTACATTGTAAAGCGCTGCGCAAACTGTTGGCGCTATATAAATACTATGTAATAGTTATAATAATCTGTCCCTCCAGCAGTGCGGCGGCTCTCAGATTTAGCGCTGACTCCTCTGTCCCTGCAGGCACTTCCGATCCCGCGGTGTCTGCATGCATATGCACGCGTCCCGTCCGTAGACTTACCTTGCTTCTCTGCTAGTCTCCCGGTCGAGAATCTGAACTGCGCATGCGCTGGCCCCAAGATGCTTTGCAGCCGCCCGAGCAGTTTCGGATTCTTGGGCGGGAGCGTGCAGCGATAACGAGGTAAGTTTAAACCGCTGTTAAAGCGGGGTTTTTTTTGCCTTTATCTACTGCTTGTTAGCAGTAGAAATATGCAAAAAAAACCCGGAGGGTCCAGCATTAGGCATCGCTGTGCATGTGTAGTAGAGCTTTTGTCAGAAGAGAAGAAGTCTTTTCTACCAAAAACTGGTTCAGTTCCACTTTACTTTATTAGGACTCATTACGGGTTGCCTCTTTTCCATGCACCCATGTCCCATAGCACTTCTACACAGCAATACATGGCTCCTGGAGTGCAATTTGAATGCAAATCAACGGGACCATATCACACCTTTTTACTCAATATAAAGATTTGATTTAGTGATGGTAACATAGGTGCCATTATATCATGTGAAGTGTAATTGATAGGCCCTTTACACTTTAATTAGCCCTTTACAGTCTGGGCTGGATTTTTACTTCCTGTCCTCCTAGGTTAATTGTCTTATGCCACCGCCCTATTACCTTAGTTGACTGGCTAGTCATAGTATCATACTAACAAGACCAGACTTCGAAGCCACACAAGTATGGGCTTTACCCACTTTGTCATCAATAGATCTAGATCAAACTTTATGGTAAACTACTGCAGGCAGTGCAGTTCTAGGTGTGCAGACCCAGAGTGGATAAACTGAAAGTACACAATGCACTATTCCAGTAACAAAAATGCATTACCTGCACGGAAACAGCAATAGGTACCTGGCCACATTCTTTTAGAGTGGCAGTCTGGAACCTATCATTATGCATGTTGTTTTGTTACTGTCAGCAAAATATCAGTGGCTCTGTACGGGCCTTGACCATGCCCTATGCTTGCTCTGTATAATCCAGCACTGACTACAGGAATACCCGCGTACATGTAAAGGAAACATCAGATGAAAACTGAAACAAACATACTAAAAGCACATTTTAAGAAATCAAGTTGAAATCTATAGGAAATGATCTCCAGAATAATCCTTACCACTGCCTGGAATCCAGATTTTTAAGTTCTCGTAATAATTTTGAATTTTTCTTCAACAGATGGAAATTTTTTCTGCAGAAAGAAAAGTACTTAGGTTTTATCTTGTACCTAAAAATTATGCGTTTTCTCTACTACTACTAACATTAAATATGCAGCAGGGGAAGCATCAGTATAATATTGACATGAATAGTGACCACTATACACTGACATAAACACTGCAGAACTGCAGACTCCATCAGTGTTACCACAAAGTTTGTGGTAAATTGGCCAAGTGTGCTACAAGCAATGGAATGTGTTTGTGAGCAGTGATATACAGTAGCACACTCCTGGCTGTTGCTTCAGGTGGAGGTGGTGAACTCGCAGCTGCTGACCTTCAAACATTATTCACAACAGAAAGTGAAACAAAATTGAATAGAAAATAAACTGACCAAATTGGGGAATATAGTCAGTATAATGCATGTATATTAACGGGCATCCCTGCCCGTTTTTAAATTGCGGCCATTTCCCGCTCGCGCGCCCGCTCAGATCTAGAGAGCTCCTGGCCGGCCGTTTTTTTACTACGGCCGGCCCGGAAGCAGTTAAACACATACAAAACATCTCTAAGGACCTCTTCCACATACCTTCTCTCCCATGAATTCATCCCTAGATCATTCAGAAAGAGCCTACAGAAATAAAATGGAGCCTGTGGCTCAGCTGTGTTGGGTTCCTCCTGGCATGAGACCCTGACACTGGGGTCACAGTTACACATCTGAATGTGCTCAGCCTCACTGGAACTCTGTCTTCTGATTGCCTCAATGATCTCCTCTTCTTGTTCACGGCTCATTCCAACAGGAGGTAAGGCAGGTTCATTCAGTCTTAGCTCTGTATGCTGTAGGCACTCTGGACTTACAGTGCCAAGTTTTTCCAAAAGTGCATCAAGGGCATCCACTCCTTCTCCTTCCACAGAATGTGACTGCAACAAGCTCTGATATTCACAGACCTGATGTGCAGACTGCAGTTTTCTTTCCTTTGAAAAGACACCAGGACATTCTAGTGGCCCATACATGATTTCACCATCCCAAGAGTATTTCCCTGAGATATCTCTGACAATTATCCGTACATCGCCGGGTACTCCTGTGGAGTCCATGCCAACAGAATTTTCTGCAGGGATTTGCAGATAAGAAATAAGAGCACTGTCGTTGAACACAAAAAGCTGCAAATTGGGACTTCGGAACACATCGTTTGACAACTCTGATGCCTCCACATAAGGGTTATCCTGATTCTCATTAATCAAGCTGTGTAAAATGGCTGGACCACCACTGAGTGGATAGTGTCCCAAATGGTTTACAAGCTGCGTCATGACCATACGGGCTGTCAAAGGGATGAGTTCTAGGTTCCTTCTCTTCTTTTCTGAAATAGAAACATAAAAATACAACATAGCAGGAAACAAATTATGCCTGGTTAGGGCTTCATTCATTAATTCAGGAATATCTGTAGGTCACCAGTCCACGCCACTAGTTCTTAATCTCATGATCTGCGAACCCCTTTTGATTAGATGCTTACAATGCAGTATATAGTTATTCTAGAGCACACCCAATGTAGACTCATAAAAGGAAAGCTTGATTTACCAAAGTGTAAGAACTAACAACCTTCTCAAAACTATATATATATATATAATCTTATTTGTGGTTTTAGTACTTGTTCTGCACATCATAAGCATTTAGCTATTATTGTAGCTTCAAGTTTTCATGTAAAAAAAACAGCATTTTTGATGTAGGTCTCAGCAACCTATCAAACGTTTGCAATAATTTATTTGATTAAATCTACTACCTGACATTGGGCACAGTCTATACCACGTTATTCACATAAAAAATCATACCAAATTATTAGATTAACTATCACTGAGGTATGCAGAGTTTACCAACGAACATGATATTAAATTACTTTACTGAATAAGTAACACACCATTTAATAAGCATCACATATGTTTACAAGATTAGCTACAAGGCAAACTACTGCTTTTAGCTCAGAAAACAGCACTATAATATCGCTTGCACTAACATTCCTCTCTTGATAATACTGTACCATTTTCATTACATTTAATAACTTTTATAAGACCATCAGCATTCTAAATGTTTAACATAATTGCCTATAACAACTGTAATACCATTTCCATGAATTTGGGCAAACATGTACTTTGTGTACTAACTTTTTCTTTATTCAAGAGATAAATGTAAATCATTTTTGTAAGCAAAGGAAAAAAAAAGAGAGGAGGAAGTAAAAGAGATATACAGGGGTGTGAGAAAAAGAGGCAGATGGGGAGAGAAGGAAAAGAGCCAGATAGAGTGAAAGGTACTAAAAGGGAGTGAGAGACAGAAACGGTATGAGGAAGAGAGTGAAAAAATGAGTCGAGGAGAAAAAAAGAGAACGAGCCAAAAACAAAAAATGCCGCAAAGCAGACAGAAGAGAACGTGACATGCTGTACATATGCAATAAGTAGAGTCTCATCTCTAGTTACACGACAATTGATATTAGGGAATAAGGTGAAAGAAATTGTCACTGATGCTGATGTATGCTTACCTTCTGCGACAGTGAGGAGATTGCTGAAATCAGAGGAGCTATAGGGAGGTGGTGGCTCAGAATTTTTCACATTAACTAAAGGTAGAAATGGATCATAGTCTATGGAGGAGAGATCAGCCAGACTTAGAATATACTGGCTTTGTTGAGTATATGTGTTGGAGCCACACACACAACAATGTAGAACCTAAAAAAAAATAACTTATTACAATACACAATAACACAGACAACAATAATAATAAGTTATTTCTAATAAACAAAATTGAAAACACTTTAAAAGTAAAATATTTAGATAAAAGGAATCTATCAGATATCCCCTAAGGCACAACAGCATGTATTAAACAGACATCTGCCTATTTATTTTTTAAACTCAGTGCACCACTGTGCGCAGATGGTTCACATATGTGTGCAGTAGTGCGCTACATGAATGAATAGCACCGCAAAGCATTGCACTCTGATTCATATGTATTACTGCATCTTACTACAAGACACTGGTGTGAAGGGGCCCTTGCAAGTGGAACTTTGCCCAGGACCCAGTACAGCCAAGAAAAAAATATGATTTCTGTACTTGTAAAATGATTTCCTTGGAGTTCATCAAGGAACACAGGATTAGAAGAATTCAGAAATATTGGGTTTTTCTGCTGCTCTTAGGAAACATTGGACACTGGCAAACCAAAAAGCCATTGACCAGCCAAGTATAATATCTCCCATTTCCATGATGCTTCAGTTTTTATTTTAGGAAAGCAGTATTAGGAGTAGATCATAAACAGAGAGGGGTAGAACCTGTGTCCCCCTGAGGGACTCTAAGAAAAGCATTTTACGGTGAGTACAAAAATCCAGAAACAGATGGTTGATACTAAAAAGCCCAGGAAGAACTCACAGATCTCATAGAGTAAGCCTTTACTAGAATAGGTGGAAACTTATCCTTAAGCTAGTAAGCTTAACAAATTACCTGCCTGAGCCACCGAGAAATAGTGGAACATTAAACAAATTGCCTTTTTTTTGCAATCAGTCTTTGGAACAAGATCAAAAGAGCTGAAATGTGCCCCTTGATAGCAAATTCCTAATCAAGGACAGATTATAGAAATGTCAAAATCAATCCCATGGAGTATTTCCTGGGATAAAATTTTCTTGTCTCGCACCTTGTGTAACGTGGACTTCCTAGCTTTCAGGAGTGTAAGAAAGGCCCAGGGCAACAGCCATGCCATCAAAGCCTGGAAATCTGAAAAAGCCAACGTTGTATCTTTCAGTCTGATGTGGTCTGAGTACCACATCCTCCAGGCAATGAAGAAGCTTCAGAGGAGGCTGTACGGCTCCCACTGAGCCACCAGGACATCCATTGCTATTGCTTGCAGAACCTGCATCTGGAGACAAATCTGTTGAGTTTGCACCTGAAAATGGAATCTAGGAGCTCCACATCCTCCCTGAAGGTTGATGTATGCCTCTGTTGTATTGCAGTTTAGCTGAATCCAGGTTAGATGACCGTGCAGTCAAGGAATCTAGTGTTGAAGGGATAAACGCATGGCTTGGAGCTCCACTGTGTTAAAATAGAGATGAGCTTCTGCTGGCAAACAAGTCTCTTTACTGTCAGGGTGTCCAGGATGCCTCTCAGCCTGCCAGACTAACATCAATCCTGAGTATCTTCCAGGACAGTGGAAGAAAATACTTACCCGACTCCATGGCTGGATTGGTGAGCCACTAGTCCAGAGACAACCTGGTCCTAGGAGTCAAGCGCATTGGTTAGTCCATTGACTGTAACCTACTTGTCCCACACAGCCATAAAATTGAGTTTCAAGGGTCTGAGTGGAAGAGTGGAAATGGACTAATGGGACTGTCCCAAAGGAGGCTACCAGCACACTCAGAACGCCCATACAAAAGCAAAAGACTGTTGGGTCTGGATCTGGGAGCAAAGAATTAGGCTAGCACCAGAGCTAGGACATTGGTGAACACTTGGGGTGCAGAAGGCAGACCAAAAGGAAGTGTAACAAACTGATAGTGTTGCATGCCCACAGTGAAACACTAGAAGGATGGGGAAATGCAAATGGGTGGGGATGGGATGAGTTTTAAGGGCATGCCACAGAGTTATTTAAAAAAAGACCTCAAAGAGCACGTTCAATCGAAAGGCCTTCGCAGCTGCACAAGCTTTGAAAGACACGAGACTGGAGATAACAGGCTGATTCTCCATTTCCAAAAAAGTAAGATTAGGGTACGAGGCAAGGCCTCAGGTACTCATGAATCACAGGCAGCTAGTAGCAAGAAGGCAGCAGGAGCAAACCAAGGATAGAAGTTCCAAGTGGCTCTCCTGCAAGCAGGAGCATCTGCAGGGAGATGTTTCCTCAATGCTGTATGGAGGGACACCCACCATATGACATGAGCACTTAACACTTTGGGACTAAAGCCTTCCATGGCAAAAAAACAGTGCTGGCTTGACCAGTCTACTCACAGAGTCTTTAGTGACAGGGCAGGCACTGAGGCAATTGCTAGTGACTACAGACCTCGAAAGTGATCCACCACTAACTTGTTACCAGAATGGGGTACGCAAAGTGCCTTAAGCAGAATCCAGTGCCTGAAGATAACATCCTTGCCACAACCACACTGAGGATGGCTGCACCATAGAGCTGCAGTCAAGAGACTAGCAGTTCTTCCTCCTGAGACACCAGCAAAAAACTGACAAATGTGGGTAGTAGGAGAAGTAATCCTGGGCTGGCCTACATTTTTTTTTGTTTGCCAGTGTCCTATCCTACTGTAGACAGCATTATAACCCAAAGACGTTGTGTCCCTCGATGGACAGAAAAGAAAAACTGACTCCACAGTTACAATTCAATTCTAACGTGTGGTGAGCTTATTATGGCTTTACCAAATCTGTTACACCCATTTTACGGAGGAAAAAAAAGCACTAACAACTAGAAGGAAATAAAATTAAAAGCCTTTTCATGTTTCACTTTGTATAAAAGATGTCATAAGTGAGGCTGCCTCACTGAACTCATCCTGGCAGTAAATAAATGAATGCATCAAACTAACACAAGCCTCTATTTGACCCTAACAATCAATGAGGTGTAGAGTGACCTAACCGCTAGATTGAAGGCCCCTGGCTAACAGTGTGCCATTTTATAGAGATATGACTCAAGTGCTAATGAGACAGTATCCAACAGGATGAAGCAAAATGTTAAAGACACACATATATAATACTTACTCTGTAAATGTAGTCAAGGAGGGATGGTTTAGGTTGATGTGGCTCTTCAAGCGGGAATGTAGATATTGGCTCTAGCAATGTCTGCAGAGGAAGGGCCATACACCAGTCTAACAGGCACAACAGCAGGGACACTATAAACTGAAAGGGGACAAAAGAGAGAAAAGATAACTTTATTTGCTAACAAATGGACCAGCTGCATAGCAAGATAGTTCTTTTAGTATTTGATGTTACATGATTTCTGACAGACAGTTTATAATGATATTGTTTTGCAGATTTATTAAGCAATTTAATCTGCAGGATGTAAAGAGCAATTTCTTAGCTGATGTGTATAGGAATCAATCAGCATTTATCTTGCTTGGGTCTCGGGTAAGAAGTTACTTAGGAAAGTATCCCCTAGTACATTTACTTGAAATTAACCACAAGTTATTAACATGTAAGTCCACTCCAAAGGGTTACTGGATAGGTTGAGTCAACTGCAGACATCTTATATCTCTTGTGCACTCAGCATCAAAATCTCCTTGCCATAGTCCCTACCTCTGTTTCTGTCCACCTTTAGAGTTTTTAGGTTACCTGAGAACCCAGGGCGCATCCTCAGTGATCTGTGAAATCATGACTAAATAGAGTAAATTACAAGAGACATTTTCCTCATAGATTTCCTGATTAGCAAGGTAAACTGGGAAACAGTGTTTCATGTTCTGCTATCCAAATACAATGTTTTTGTCCAGATATTTTAGGCGTCTCTGAATTCCAAAGAAAATATTCCTTCAAGATAATATACCTTTTTATCTACTTCCATTGAAGAATTTTCTGCACTTGGGAGAAGGAAGGAAATAGTTGCCACAAGAATCTAAAAAAACCCAAAACAAATCCAACAGATACTTGTTAAACAGATGCCTGCATAAACACTGGGAATATTCAAATCTCAAACAAAACAAAGCATATCTAGATAGAATATGTTAAAGTGGGCCAAAAGGAACCAAATGGTCCGCCACTAAACCAGTGTGTAACACAAAGTATTCACATGTTTCATTCTATCGCCTATCTTATTTTAGGATAGTGGGCCCAGCCATACAAATCATTCCTTTATGCCCTTTGGCCAACTATACATACAGAACTGATTTATAGCATAAAATGCAGCCTAACATTATGGAGTAATTTATTCCAAACTATACACAACTGTTTTAGGCTTGCTGGTGACCAACAAATCTGAAACAACTATATGCAGCTTTGCATAAAAGGTTTATAATATAAACTGTATCTGTGCAATGTGACCAAAGGATCATACAAGCAACAACCAATGGATCTGGATGTACAGTTAGCCAAGGAGCACAGGAAAATGATCTTTGTCACTATTCCTAAAATGAGGAATAATCCACTTGTTTTTGGGATATCTGATAGAATGGTAAATGTGAATACCTTCTGTTTTACAAAGGCTCCACTGTGCTACAAAAATTTCCAATACAGGAAAATTTAAACAGCCCCGATGCTGGCGACGTACACTGTACGTCGTCAGTCACGAAGGGGTTAACATTGCCTCCAAATATTGTCTTTCCAACTAGCCAGCAATACAATACCATTCTGGTTTATTAAACTAAAACAGTTTCATACCTCAATATAATTGTATTTGCTTTGCACATGATATGATCAGTTTACTGTACAGTTGTATAGGATAATAAAACTGCAAGTGATTGGACAAATTTCACCAAATAGGCTGTATGTATGAAAATTGCAATACGCAGATAATGCAGTGGGTGCTATGTGAAATGAATACATTCTAGCATCCTACACATAAGGTTAAAAAAGTTATATAACTGGCATTTATGTTATTTTAATAGAATTGCAACAGGTAATATAGTCCTAAGGGAAAAAAGAAGCAGCTTCATGGAGAGATGCAATAGAAGGCAGACCAGAGACAAAACTTGGTTGAGTAGTATTTGTGTAGAATTTGTGTAGAATTTACATAGAAAAGCAGTGTCTGATAATTATCTGTGATCTCACATGTCTGATTTGAAGTAAACATTAGGGATGTACCGAAATTTTGTCTCCCGAAATATATTGGCCATAAAAGTGCTATCCTATCGCCGAAATTGCGGTGCATCCGTGATTTCTATCCTCCTCGCTGCTCTGTCTTCCCTCTGACACAGAGCAGTGTCCAGCAGGGAGGAGAGAAACTGTCAGGAGGGGGGGCAGGGAGAGAGCGCTGTGAGCAGTGCATCACAGGAGACCGAGATCTCCTTCCCCTCACCGCCCCGCTCAGCCTCCTGTAACAGATCAGGATGGAGTGCAGTGTGGAGGAGGATACAGCTGTGAGCTGTCACAGGAGGCAGAGCTGATGGTATGGGGGAGGAGTCCGCTGTCAAAAGAGAACAAGCTTTCCTCCCACTTATACTTACAGCATGCTTCAATTTTGTTGAAAAGCAGTATTTAGGAGTGGGACCTGTGTCCCTAATGAACATCAAGAAATTGATTTTTTTGGTTAAAGGAGAACTATGGAGTAAGTGTTCTTTTTCATAGTTCTCCTAAGGGTAACGGGAGGACACAAACTAGCGTCCACTCGTGACCCAAAGCTCAGTATACGGCGAGCTACAGCTCGCGGTATAGTGAGACCGCCGCAGCCGGGATGGATCCCGAATTACTGTCAAGATCCACCCAGCTGCGTGATTGACAGCTGGCTCTGCCTATCCAGAGGCACAGCCAGCTGTACCAGCCCCCTCCCCGTCCGTTCCGCCAGTCAGCGCTGGAGGATCAGACAGGGGAGGGGGGAATCCCTGCAGGGAGCCGTGAGTGACAGTCACGGCTCTCTGTAGGGACAGGATCGAGGAGTGAGCAACGGTATGCGTTCGCTCACTTCCCGATCTATTGAGCCGACGTGTGACAGTTTCATTGTCATACGTGGGCTCGAACTATGAGGTTGAGTGATTTTCACTCACCTCATAGTTCTCCTTTAAGTACAGAAATCCTGTTTTCATTATTGTTCATTCGGAAACATAAGATCAGTAGTTATTCTGACACGATTGGGATGTCCAAAAGCATTGCTACTAAGGGGTGGGCAACACAGCAAACAAAACGCTAACATACTCTCAAAAAAAGGGCAACTTGCAACTCAAAAAGCTGCCTGAATGACCTTACATCAGATGTGTAATCTGGCAAAGCTTAGAGAATGTATGAAAAGATGACCAGGTTAAGGCCTTGCAAAACTAAAAATAATTTTATATACCACTACCATAAGTACCTGAAACTGTCTTCATGTCAAGCTACTGTAATTCCCTGTATAACAGCACTTAGTCTTGGAAAAAGAGGGAAGAAGAGCAATTTGAGCAGATTCTAATTTTGTGCTGCCCATCTAACTCCTGCAGTGTACTTTTGTTCCTTAGTCCCAATAGGGACTGGGGCCATTCCTAGATCAGGCTTTTTTGCTTAACTGTAGTGCAGTATGCACTGAGGTCTTAAGGTGTGCAGAACCTGGCTGTGCTGCATGAATCACCTGGCTGGCTAAACAGAATTTCAAATCTTTCTGCAAGTAAAACAGTTCCCATAGGCATATGGTATGTTTGTATTTACACTGCGTCTTTAGCAGTTTTTCCTAAAATTCAGCTTTAATGCTGTTGCCCAAGCATTTCACAAAAAATTACAAATGGGGTCGAAGGGAACCAGGTGATTTACTTAGAGTAAAGCAGCAATGAAGAGAAAGGCCATTTAAAAAAATCTTGCAGGTTCTTTCAGCCATAATTCTTTCCTTCCCATTTGAAACCAGGAGGGGCACACTGAAAACAAAATGAAAAAGAACTCGGCATTTTTCTTCTACTTTCTACTGTCAGCAGTTTTAGGAAGCATTTATGTTGAGAAACCTGTACTGCAGTTTCCTTTTTAAAATGGAAAAGGAGATATGAAAAAAAAAAAAGATCACATACAGATGTAAAAGATGTTTGTGCGCAGATACCCCATGAGGACCTGCAGATTACCAGGTTTGACAGTCTGGCTCTTAAACAATACGTTACTCTCTAACTTCTGCTCCATACAGCAGACCAGTAATTCCCTGGGTTTAACGAGGAACTGGTCACCTATACAAAACACATTATCAGCATATCTACAGATACTGCAGTTCCCTTGACATTTCTAGACTCATCTGAAATGACCATGGTAGAGGATTACTCAGATGTATCCTACCTCAGAGATCTTTCTGGAGAGAGGTAACTCAGGATTCTGAAGCTCTCGCCAATATGAAACCAGCAGCTGAAGGACGTCACACGCCACCTGCGCAACTGTTTTATTAGAGAACTGCAAAGGCAAAACATAAATTGGTTATATTCACTGATTTTAACAGCTCTCATTTGAGAATAATATGTTGCTTTTCCTGCAAGACAGGTATTCTTTAAATCACTGTTACAGATAAACATTTTATATGTAAAGTATTTGTATATTTAAATATTTGTCATATGATACTTTTTAATATATATTAAATCAGAAGTCATGTTTCACTGGTTTGCCTGCTTTAATCTGACAATTAACTGTAAATTTGGACTGCTAAGGGTCACTATATATTACAGTTCATCACTGCTCTTTGCACTCCTTTGTTCAATAAGACTGACAATGAAGCTTTTACATATATTTACTTGTTATTTTAGGTTTACGGTGCAAGCAGCTTCTATTTTAGCTGTACTGAAAGAAAAGCATTGGAGCTATAAAAGTATCTGTCCATGGTGCTGAAACTAGCAACAATGTAAGGCAAGCAAAGAGCAGTTCACTATGAAGGCCTATAAAACATGACAGCTGCACAGCAGAAAAACAATGCAATAAATGGAATGAAAACTATGCCTTATAAAACACATGACAGCCCTTTATGTCCTTTGCTTTGGAAAAGAAGGCACAGCCACACTGCTATTACAGGAACAATGACAAATCAGATACTGGCTTTAATTAGCCTGGCATAGGTTTTAGAAAACCAGAAAAAAAAGAATACCTGTTTGTAACATGCTTTTCCACAATTAAAAGACATATTTCTACTGTCTAATCTTTAGGCTGAATAGCTGTTGAAAAGTTGCATGTAATGAATTCTGCATTATCTTTCCAATCTAGCAGCAGAGGGAGTCTGTCAATGTGAAGATTTAATGGTATGTATACATAGCATGTAACTGAACAGAATACAGACGTTTAATTCAGGAGGGATCAAGAATCAGCTTTGCAGCATCACAAAATAGACATGGAAATAAAACTCATCCCATACACGTTACAATTAGACTGTACAATCTCCTTTACATCTAACAACTTCTTATTGCACAGGTCTTTCGTATTGGCTACAATTTGTATATATTGTTTAGGTAAAACATCACACTACATTGAGTACTGCAAAAATCCTCACCGCTCCGATTCAGCAGCCCAGCTCACGCTGTATTTCCACCGCAGGTGAAGGTTTTAAAGTGTGTGTTCACCATGCATGAACGGAAACCAAAGAATAACCGCACTCCGCAAGATACAAGCGAGGAATCCTGTGTTTATTGATGCAAAATCAAGTGTACATCACAGCAAGCTCCCCAGACCAAAGAGCAAACTCCTTTTTTTTCTGCTCTTTGGTCTGGAGTTTGCTCTTTCGTCTGGGGAGCTTGCTGTGATTTACACTTGATTTTGCATCAATAAACACAGGATTCCTCGCTTGTATCTTGCGGAGTGCTGTTATTCTTTGGTTTCCGATCCTATTACATTGTTTTGGTAAATCCAAAGGAGATTATACAGCTACCGCACAATTAGAATGCAATCCATACGACCAGCTTAACACCTTAGTGATAGCATCAAAAAATGTAGAGTTGTCAAAGGACATTAGGGACAAGATTGTAGACCTGCACAAGGCTGGAATGGGCTACAAGACCATCAGCTAGAAGCTTGGTGAGAAGGAAATAATTGTTAGAGCGATTAATCGCAAATGGAAGGAATACAAAATAACCACAATGAGGCAAGATTTCGCCTCATGGGGTAAGGATGATTATGGTAAAAGTGAGGGATCAGCCCAGAACTACACGGGAGGAGCTTGTTAATCATCTCAAGGCAGTTGGGACCACAGTCACCAAACAAACCATTGGTAACACAATACACCACCATGGATTGAGACCCCCTCCTCAAGAAGGCACATGTACAGGCCTGTCTGAAGCTTGCCAATGAACATCTAAATGATTCAGAGAAGGATTGGATGAAAGTGCTGCGGTCAGATGAGACCAAAATTGAGCTCTTTGGCATTAACTCCACTCACCGTGTTTGGAGGAAGAAAAATGCTGACTTAAGAACACCATCCCTACAGTCAAGCATGGAGGTGGAAACATTATGCTTTAGGGCCGTTTCTCTGCTAAAGGTACAGGCCGACTTTGCCGCATTAAGGGGCCAATGGACAGGGCTATGTATTGTAAAATCTTGGATGAGAACCTCCATCCCTCAGCCAGAACACTGAAGATGGGTTGTGGATGGGTCTTTCAGCATGACAATGACCCAAAACATACCGCTGAGGCAACAAAGCAGTGGCTCAAGAAGAAGCACATTAAGGTCATGGAGTGGCCTAGGCAGTCTTCAGACTTTAATCCTATAGAAAATGTATAGGATTATAAATATATAGTACTAAGTCATGTTTTGCTTGGGGATCAAATATTTATTTTACTCACTGAACTGCAACTCAATTTATAACATTTGTATCAGGTGTTTTTTCTGGATTTTTGGTTGATATTCTGTCTCTATAATTTAAAATACATCTATGATAAAAATTATAGACCTTTCATTTCTTTGTAAGTGGGCAAACTTACAAAATCTGCAGGGGATCAAATCATTATTTTCCACACTGTATAGGGTATATCATACGTCTGGAATTTCAGTTTATTTTGGGAGTTATAAATACAAAATACAAGGGGTGAAATACAATTTTAGTGTGGAACAATTTTAGAATGTGGTATGTTTGTCTCCTAACTTTAAAGGCCTGCTTATAATTTTTTAACTAAACATATGTTTTAAACTTCATTTTACTTTTTTTTTTAAATGTTTAAAAATGTTAAAAACTTTAAAAATTTGTTTACAATTTTTTTTTTTAACTGGGGGGCACTAAAGGGTTATTTTTTTATTTACAGGGGCTTTTGCTACTAAGTATTCTGAGGAGATACTGTATTCTCCTTGGAGATACTTTGTATCACCTGGTAATACACTCAAACAGCTTCCAACTCTACAACACAGTGAGCGGAAAGCCAGCTCGGTGGCTGTCACAGAACGTGATTACATTGATCAGCTACCAGAGTGATCACTGTGCTGTGACCACCTAAATTGCTGTTGTGGTTCTGCCTCTGACCCTGAGGAATCCATCCACAGCATTAACTCAATGAGTGCTGGTCTATTGACCAGCTCATTATACCGCATGAGGGGATTATTCCGCCATCGGTCGGGAAGGGGTTAATGCTCTCCGACACTGTAAAGTATAACCTTCTGTATCATGGGTCATGCATAATTTTCTATATTTCTTTCACAGCAGAAGGGCAAACTTCAATACCAGTCCGATGATACACCGCAAGGGGGAACTGTGCAAACTTTAAGGACATTTTATATCTACAGACCATTGTCAGATAGTTTTAATAGTGCTGTGTTTCAGATTG